CTCGAAAAGAGAGAAAGCGAAGATGCCGAGTGCCAAAAGTGCAAGCAACGCGAACAGACCTTCTAGCGGACCGCAGCCCTTGACTGCAACCAATCAGAACAGAGAATTTTGCGAATTGACTAATCACAGAATGGCTGCGTTCAGCAGACTCAACAGTTTTGCAACCGTTTTATGATTGTCTGCTGAGATAGGACCATTCTTCTAGATCTAAAAGTATGATCCAATTAGCGCGAAGGAAGCAGAACGTTGGCTGCGTTTAGCAGAACGTTTGTTTTGCAACTGTTGGAAGTTTCCTTCGCGCTAATTGGATCATACTTTTAGATCTAGAAGAATGGTCCTATCTCAGCAGACAATCATAAAACGGTTGCAAAACTGTTGAGTCTGCTGAACGCAGCCAATGCTTCGAAGCGTTTGTAGCGTCAAGTGGACCGCAGCCAATAAGATAATCGAATTAATATTTTCAACATGAAAACTTTTACCTCTCTGCTTTTACCGACAGTACAGGAGAAGAGAATGTAATAATACGTGTGCCTTCCAAGTTGAGAGACGCTAGTGTCTAATTCTCAATTTAGCGAGAACTATATGCGATATATAAGAAGGAAGATCATCTAATTATATGTATATATATATCTATGACTCTTCGCGTTCCGAACATTCCTGAATTTCCTGAATGATTCCGGCTGTGAGCATTGCTCTGGAACGCACGTGCATACTGCTGCACAGATACACAGTGCACACTACGTCAGCACACGTGCTCTTAGTGTTCCGAGTAGTCCGAGTGTTCTAAGCACTCTCTTCCAAAGAAGCTTGTTTCCTCGCAATTGACGTGACTAAAAAGTAAAGGGACGATAATAATCTTAACGAAAAATTATGGCAGATTATGTATTGGGCGATATAAAGGATATACCACTACCGGACGATGGCTTGTCGGCGGCGCAGTTATTTGCCGCGGGTGACGGCCTTACTTACAATGATTTTATCATATTTCCCGGTTACATCGATTTTACGGCGGACGAAGTCGATCTGTTCTCACCGTTAACCAGAAGAATCACGTTGAAGGCACCTCTTGTGTCTTCGCCGATGGACACCGTTACCGAGTCTGACATGGCTATAGCTATGGCCCTGTCTGGCGGGATCGGCATCATACATCATAATTGTACCGCTGAATATCAAGCCAATGAAGTGCACAAGGTAACATATTCTTCGACGTAATCGTTTTAGATACTCATGAAAACGAATTCAATACGACGTGCGCATACTATAGTATATAATTTGAATTTCCATAGCAGCGTATAAAATACAAACGTCTTGCCTTATCGTACGTAATTCCTATGGACTGTATTAAATGTTGGGTGATACCCATCATTACACTGATTCTATAATGAGTCAGTAGTCTGTAATCGGTGAGTCAAAAGCGAGTCTGAGGGATAGTCGGTCAGTTGGAAATTGGTGAATCAGTAATTGGCCAGCAGCCAACTTCTAATACTACAGACTACCGACTTATTGTAGAATTAGCCTTAAACTTGTACTACATAAATACACTGTCTTGTTTACAGGTAAAAAAGTACAAGCATGGCTTCATTAGAGATCCAGTTGTATTGGCACCGCATCACACCGTCAACGACGTTTTAAACGTCAAGATTGAGCATGGTTTTAGTGGAGTACCCGTGACAGACACGGGTAAAGTTGGCGGTAAATTGCTAGGTATCGTCACCTCGAGAGACATCGACTTCCTCGAACGTTTGCCTAATTATAAACATAAATCGCTTAATTCTATAATGACGACTTTGGAGGACCTAATCACTGCGCCAGCTGGCGTAACGTTGCAAGAGGCAAATGTCATATTGGAAAAGTCCAAAAAGGGAAAGCTTCCCATCGTCAATGAACGCGGCGAACTTGTATCTCTGATGGCAAGGACCGACTTGAAGAAGAACCGTAGCTATCCAAATGCTAGCAAGGATGAGAATAAGCAGCTGTTGGTAGGAGCCGCGATAGGAACGCGAGATGCTGACAAACATCGATTAGAATTGCTCGTCGCAGCTGGCGTGGACGTAGTGGTATTGGATTCATCACAGGGCAATTCATTGTATCAGGTCGACATGATCAAGTGTATCAAAACGCAGCATCCGAATTTACAAGTGATCGCTGGTAATGTCGTGACTACGAAGCAAGCCAAGAATCTTATTGAGGCGGGAGCTGATGCATTACGCGTTGGAATGGGTTCCGGATCTATTTGCATAACGCAAGAAGTAATGGCTGTAGGACGACCACAAGCGACAGCCGTCTATAAGGTTTCCGAGTACGCTAGAAAATTTGGAATACCCGTCATAGCAGACGGTGGTATTCAGTCTATCGGCCACATTATTAAAGGTCTCAGCTTAGGTGCTAGTACAGTTATGATGGGTTCTCTCTTGGCTGGAACTTCTGAAGCTCCAGGCGAGTATTTTTTCAGCGACGGAGTCCGTCTAAAAAAATACAGAGGAATGGGCTCGTTGGAAGCCATGAACAGAAAGGACGCCAAAGGTTCGGCGATGGATAGGTATTTTCATAATGAAATGGACAAACTAAAAGTAGCTCAAGGTGTCAGCGGATCTATAGTGGATAAAGGCTCGGTCCTTAAATTTCTGCCTTATTTGACTTGCGGTATCAAGCACGGTTGTCAAGATATAGGAGCAAGGTCGCTTACCACCTTGCGATCTATGATGTACAGCGGGGAATTGAAATTTGAAAGAAGAACGCATTCGGCTCAGCAGGAGGGCAATGTACACAGCTTATTCTCCTATGAGAAAAGGCTGTATTAGTTGTGAAAAATAATAACTCGTAAAGCACGCGTCACGCGTGCAAGAAAAGTACCTGCATTTAATTGAATATCATTATTTTACAAGACTAGTTATTTTACAAGACTTGCGAGAAATCTTATTTGTCGCGAATGTACGAGATATTATTAATCAGGTTATGACTCGGGCTCGACCAAATATGATTCGTTTACCTTAGAACTGTTTTTAATGAGTAGGAAAACTACATCATTTATTTAATTTATTATATCAGTCTCGTATGTGTACTTGTTAGTTAATGAACATCTATCATATGGTACTTTGTAAATTTTATCTACATTTTATATTCATAATGAGTAATATGAAAATCAAGTGAATGACTTTGTATCGTACGATGCATTTACACCTACGCATAATATTAGTACACAGCTGACAATGTGTGATTTTTTTACTTCATCAAATAATTGATACGAGAAATTATTTTACCGCAAAATCACGTTAACGTTAATAAATACTAAAATATGGAAGGAATCACTGTTCTTGAACATACATTGTAATATTTGGTCGCTCGTTCATTTCTCTTAACTTAGTTCAATTCAAAATAGTTTCAATTGATATCTTACCCTCAAGCTAACTTTTATTTTGAATATTGTAACTTTCCAAAAAAAATTGAAAAACGTTTAGTACGATAATCCAATAATATTAAACCCCGAAGATAATCTCTTTTCCAGTATCAACTTGTAGCTGATACGTTTTATACAGTATTCTCATAATAAACTGTATATCTCAAATAAAAAAGACAATTGATGTAAACACATTATGTGTAATACGCTCTATTTCCTGTATCCTAAATTTTCTCTAACAATTTTTTAAAAGTATTTTATATTTGAAATACATTTTCAACGGAATTCGAAGCTGATGACTACAGTAGGTATTATAAATAAAGTATTTCTGACGGGAATATTTTAAATTTTTTAATATTATGATTTGGAAACGGGACCATTTACCTGAATAAATCAAATTAATACGAAAAGCGCCGGTTACGGTCAAAATTAGATGTTGAATAATGTACATTTTTTAAAATGTATATAGTATTTTACATAAAGCTCTGGAACACTCATTTTTTAAGATTCGATATTTATGGACTATCAAATTAATTTTTTCTTTACAGGTTAATTCGCAGTTTATTTGAATATCCATAAAAATCTTTGGCCAATCATGGAACTTGGTTCTACTTATGCGTCAATGGGTGCGTTCAGCAGAACGTTTGTTTTGCAACTGTTGTAAGTTTCCTTCGCGCTAATTGGATCATACTTTTAGATCTAGAAGAATGGTCCTATCTCAGCAGACAATCCTAAACCGGTTGCAAAACTGTTGAGTCTGCTGAACGCAGCTATTGGCTGCGTTCAGCAGAACGTTC